CTCTTTCTCATTGTAAGATATCGAAAGTGGAGAAATAAAATTCCAGTGTGTTTTAATCATGATATCCTTCTAAACCTCTTCAGTTCTTTCTTGGTTTTTGCAAAGTATGAGATAGTCATATGTTTAATTGATATGGAGTAAGATCTGAGTAGAAGCATAAGTATGCTCTGCAGTTGCACCTTTTTGGTGAACCTTTGCATCAGAAAATGTTATACTGACTATATGATCCGTCCGGGGTTTCAGTGATTCTATAAGAAATACAAAAGTCAGGCCCTGTCTGCGTGGGTAAGAATACCGATATTTCTTGTAGAATTCTGTTACTCCGCCAATATAATTCTGTATGAGAAGCTGTGACTTTTTTGAGTCTCAATATAAGTGGTGAATTCCTCTTCACTATGGGTCTAAATTCAGGTGCTGCCAAATGATGGATCAGAGAATTAGTGCCCATCATGTGATTTTGAAGGCTTGAGGTGAACTTTATAAATTGGGCCACCTAAAATTGTAATATGTATACAAAATCTATAAGTGCATTATGAAACAAGTTTTTAACTTGTTAATTTAAAACTTAATAGTAAAACAACAACTTAAAATATATTATACAAAAAAATTATATTATACTCAAATAACAAACCTGACAAGGTTCCAAACATCAATTAAATAATATTCACCTGCGATTTTAAAAGCAAAATAATTAATCAAATTGAATAATCAAGTTGTTAGTACCTCGAGATCTGAAACTTCAAACATAAATCATCTCCATTAATGTCCGAAAATCCATTATATTTCAGATACTTTTCAAGATTCATAAAAGATTTCAACGACTTGAAAAAAGTTGCAAGCCTTAACATTTCCAAATAAAACAAAAATTCAAATGTCTTTTCATATTGTTTAAATTGAATCTTTAAAGAAGATACAGCTTGATCAATTACAAAAAGAAAGCATTCAACTCTAAAAGATTTTTCAGCTAATTATTTTACCTCATCACTAACACTTTCATCAAATTGCTTCTTTTTTCGAATTATGCATTTTTTTCAGAATAAGTTGCTTGAACTTGGTACATATCTTGTTTGAGTTTTTAACACTTTCATCAAATTGCTTCAATTTCCATTGCACATGCCTTCTTTGTCTCAACCACAATAACCAATTAAATATGGTTCAACACACGAACCTTATATATCTTTTAGACCAGCTTATCTGGTAATAAATTATAGAACCGAGTTAAAAACTCAAACAAAATATGTACCAAGTTCATAACTTGACAGAGCCTTGCAAAAGATGTACCAAGTTCACAACTTATTCCAAAATTTGTCCACAAAAAAGAGAAAAAAAGAAACTAAACTGAGAGACACTTGCATAATAGCGAAGCCAAACAATCCAATTTTTTAAGGCTTCTAGCGCCAAACACAATTAGACATATTTACCAACAAGTTGAGAACCTAAATTGCAAACAATTAAACTAAAGCCATAGCCTATAGGAAGCTAGAAGAGGGGCTCTATTAAATAATTAATTTCCAATGACATAAAATAGTAAAGGGGATAAAATAATACATTATGAAAAATGCCAAATTAAATTGCCCATTTTCTAGAGCAAAGTAACAGTAAATTTTAATATTACCTATGGTCGGTCAAAAAACTTCTTTTTTTCACAAAGAAGTGATAGAAATTGATAACCACATGCATCAAAGAATAACGCTATGTAAAATGGACCATAAAGAAGCGTCGGCAGCGGGAGAAGACAACGGATGACAGGCGAGATGCACAAATGTACACACAAATGACAGACGAGAGGAGAAGAGAAGAAGAAAGAGCTCTCGCATGATGTCTAATTTTTTTTATTTAAAAAAAAATTGGGCCGAGGCGAGTGAGGCCCTCTCTAATGTTGGACCTGAGACACGGGCCTAACTTGCCTCGCCCCAGAACCAGGCCTACAATCTCAAACTCCATTTTAACGGCTTCACAAAGAAACAGAAAAATATGAAATGAAGAAACGGGCTATCTTTAAAGAAATACAGTAAAATATTTCTATAGTTATACTTTCTATATGAACAACCTATGTATTGCCATAAATTTTTTTTGACTAAACTTCACATTATAAAATAAGTTACAATTTTTTTAAGACCTGCTTAAAAAAACTTGCATCCACTGATTAATAATTATATGCACATTAAGATGGAATAAAATTTATCTAAAGTTGTTTGGCACAATGATTTATTCTTTAGAGTTGGTACCATATCTTTAAACTTGTGAGTACATAATAACTCGACAGCATTTAGAGCGTACATGACTTGTTGCTCATTTAGATGATTAAGAAAGACGTTAATATCCATTCGATTAGTAGAGTTCTGTTCGCTCAATTCTATAATGACTCTTGCATTTTCTTCAACTACTTCATTTGTAACTTACAATTCATGGACATCGAGGTTTCTAATTTGGCATTGCTTAAAACAATTGGCTAATGCCAAATACAATTGGCAATAGTATGTGGTTTCACATCAATTGACCATGTAGCAATTTCATTTACAATTTCATCAAGGCTAAAGCCACTTGTACCGAGGTGAGTTGACAAACTTTGTACATACAACTCACATGGGTGGGTCCAGCATGTAATAAAAAATTGCCCAAAAAATCCCACCCACCCCCCCTATTGTGAGGTGCCGGTAAAAAAATCTTCGCGAGGGTAATCACTAACAATTAAAAGAAAATTCAGACGATTGTGTAAGGGACAAACTTTTTGAGACAAAGTCCCAAAAAGTGGTGTTTTATTGACGAGAGTTACAATTGGAACTAAACAGAATGCCTCTAACGGGCGCAAGCACACGAGTACTGAAAGAAGGATAATTAAAGTTAATCTAAGAAATTGAAATTACATATTCTCTATTTGAGAGTGTTTGATTCGAGATCCATTCCTCTATGTCTATCATTTCCTTTTATATTCTTATAATGATTTCTGCGTGATAAACTGTTTGGAAACGGCTACCCATTTTCTTCATGGTGCCTAATCTGTCGTGGAACTGTCATCTCTAACTGTTGTCATTACTCCTGGTTGTTCAACTGCCTTCAAAGGGGCTTCTTAAATCTTGCAATGTGATAATCAACTCGATAACTGTCTCAATAACTGCTATTCCGGATGACCATAATATCTAACATATTATGATTCTAGGCGACTCGAAGGTTTGGGCGAAAACGAGGTTGTCGCGCTGAGCGACAGTGAGGCACTTCATTCGTCCAAACTTTGGGCGTCATGCGGGCTTGGGCGATGATATTACTGTGTTCGTGGGTTCCTTCTGCACTTACCAATAACCTCATTTGGACCTTTGTCCTGGGCCTCCAATTGGGCTTCACTCTTTGGGTTATCCAATTTGGACTGTATTTTTAGTGTGTCAACAAGTTTCAAGATATAATCATCTGCCCGTTTCGAAAGTGGAGGATTAAAATGTTGAGGATAATAACCTTTGAAATTTCTAATGATGCTTGGTTTCAGCCCTTCAACTGCTTTATTGCAAGAGAGTTATCAGCTTTCATGTGCTAAAATCAAGCTAGTTTCATCCATATCGTAAATCTCATTGTAAGCACATTTGTCTAATTTCCCTTTTATTAGTGGTAAATTAACTTTTATTTTTTCCATATGAAGTGAATCACTCTCTCCAAAACGATGGAAGAAGTGAACTGCATGTCGTTGTTTGAACTTTTCCAATCATCCACTTGAAATTCAAACGAGGTAGCTTTGAGATATAGTTTGTTGACCTCAAAAATAAAAATTATTTTTTAATGCTAGCAACAGAGTTTACATGTCAAAATTTTGATAGTATTTTGCCCTTTTTGAGTGTTTTGGGTGATTTTTTATTTGAAAGAAGAAACAAGAATTTTTATGTGATTTTAGCCTGAAAAAGCACTTCAATTGGTGAATATTGAGATTTCCATGACTGCTAACCTTTTTTTAACTTGATCCAAGGCGAAGACCAAAGTGCCGAACATTGAGGTGATATCCTCTAAGGCCTGCAGTTTGGTGATGTGGCTTCCCTCCTTTCGAGGCTAGTTTCTCAAATATCGAGGCAAAGATGTTTAAGATTTCAATCTGGTTGTGAAATATGTATAGATGTACTAGTACCGACGTGACAACTCGTGTGTAAAAGTCCAATTGTCTTTGTTAAATGATGTGTTCCATTTCTTGTGACATAATTATTACAGCTGCCAAACAAGTAC